TATATTAATATGTTTGACAAAATATAACAAATATAATTTTATAATTCTATAATTTTAAAATATAATTTTGAATCTTGTAAGAAATGAAAAATATTTAAAAAAAAAAACCATCTTGATTGTAAAAGATTTCAAATGGTAAAAAAAAATATTTAAAAAAATTATTATATTAATACTTTAAACAATATATAAATTAAAAATTGTAAATGATTTGATGAATCATGATACAATTGTTAATTCATATTATAAAATACATAAATTTTGTTGGTTCTATATTTTAATTATACCTTCAATTGAAATTTCATCATCTTCAATTTTCGAAATTTCCGATGATTCCATAATCTTTTCTTCTTCTTTTTCAATCGTTTCATTCACTTGTCTCGTTTCAATAGGAGATTCCGTATCCATTTCTTCTTCATCTTTTTTTAATTAATTCAATTAATATAAAAAAAAAAAAAAAAAAAGAAAAAAACAAACAAACAAATTCAATTATCTTCATTCGTAATATCTACCATCAATAGAAATTCTCGAACGTTTCAAATGATCCTTATACATTTGTTGAAGTAATTTACTAGCTTTTTCCATATCCTCCCTTGTACCAAATTCCTCTGGAATGTCATCGCGCGAAATAACTTTGTCGAAAACATTTTGACGTAAAACGTCGAGAATTCCTTCTACTACGAGAGACCTTGATGAAATCACCTTTTGAACACGTAGAAAACCTTTTCTCATACGATGCCTGTTGTAAGCTTTCTGACGAGGATTAATAAAGGATTATTTAAAAGTAATCATTTTAATTTTACCATTTATAATTTTAAAATTATATTATTACACTTATATTATTATTAATTAAGATATTGAATATTAAATGATAAAAAAAAGCCACATTTCACTCAGAGATTATTTCAGCTGACACTGTTCATTTATAAATAAAATAAGATTAATATTGTTCAATTTAAAAGCTATAATAAATTATAATAAAAGATTACTTGAATGACCATAGCAGCATTGTTGGCAACTTCAAAACTCAATTTTGAATCCTCGAATACCATTTCCAACCATGCAACAGCTTGTACAGTTTGTCCAGACTCGATGGTAAAACCATGAAGAGTTGTCTTCTTTTCTTCCTCTTTTTTCATCTCAACTGAAAATCACGCGATACTAACGTTTACTTTTCCTGTTATATCTTTTTCAATTTTTTTTTTTTTTTTTTTTTTTTAACCATACGACGGATTCGTTCAATTTCTCACGTGTTTTTTTCTCTTCGTGTTTTTTCATTTGCATTCTTAAATTTCTATTGGTATAATATCCACGATATGCTGTCTATAAAACAAATCAATGAATTTTATCGAAAGGTATTTTGATTGTAATTAAAAAAAAAAAGGTTATAATAATTTACTTCAATTATGGGTATGGATTTTGTTATTTCTTCAGCTGGGACACCAGATTTTTTCAAAATATCCAAAGTATTCATCAATGCTCTTTGCCATTGTATTTTTCCTTGAGATTCAGCTAATAACATTCTGGAACGATGACCACGAAAAGCTGCCTGAAATATTTCAAAAAAAAAAATCCAAAATTATTCATCCCTATTCTCTCACTGTAATAAAGCGTGTGTATAAAAAAAAAAAAAAAACAATTAATTTTATTTACTTGTATAATTGTGGCAGCTTTGTCAGCTTGTTCAACATTAATTCCGGTAGCTTGAAAAATATCTCTCAAAGAAATTCTCGACTTTTCGTCCAATTTTTCATCTGAATTTGATAAATTATCGATTATTAGATATACATAAAAATAAAATGAAGAAATTATTCGATTATATTTAATTTTAAACCTTCACATGGTTCTTGTCGACCATCGATGATATCCAAATATGTACGAAATGCTTTCTAAAAAATAAAATATACTTTTGATTACTTAATTTTATTTTAGTAACACCAAAACTATCACATCAGTCATTTTTAATTGGTTGGTTTTTGACTTGATTTGGTATCAAGGATATTTTGATATCAAATATTCTTCATTATTGTACTTATTATTATTATTATTATTATTATAATTGTTATTATATAGTATTTAAGATCTCAGAACATGGAAAGTTCCTTAAAAATAAATATAAAAATATTCTACTTTGACGTTTTTTTTATTAAAGACGTAATCATTTTAACTGATTTTTGTAGAGATAGCTACGTCTCAACTGTCGTTAATTCTAGTGTTAAACTAATCAATAAAAATTAATTATAATAAATACCTGAATCCTAGGTGCTGCTGCAGCAATTTGTTCTATGCTCAAACCAGTTCGATAAAGTATATTCATTATCGTTTGACTTCCTTGTAATATATTATTTACAACTTTGACTGCAACTAATTATACAAAAAATATATAACAATTTATTCATTCTCACATATACATATATGAAAATAAAATGAATCAACCTTTAGCATTTTCACGTGTAATCAAAAGAACATCCATGTAATCGGCAATGAATGAATAAATTTCTCTTGGTTGTGATCTAAGTACCTTCAGATTTTACAAATGTTTTGATACACATGTTGTTGTTGTGTTTTTATTTTATTTTGCGATGTATTATTGTAAAAATAAAAATCTCTCTAACAAAAAATAAAATAAAAAAAGGGAAAGAAAAGATATCGTGTATACACCTCGCGTGTAATGTCGGTACAAAGCTCACGTAATCCTTCGGGGACTCTATAGACGTGTTTGGCGCCGTGTTTCTGAAGCGTAACATCCATTTTTATGGCTGCTGTTCTCTCCTCTGGCCTCTCTTTTACTATTTTTCTTGTTTTTTTTTTTTTTTTTCTACTCTTTTCTTGTTGTTTTTTTTTCTTCTTCTTCTCTTTTTCAGATTGATCTTTATTGCCTCGAGTTGACGAATCCGTTTGTCGAAGAATTTGTCACGAAGTCAAACACGCTTAACTCAATTTCTCAAAGGGTTTTTTTTTTTTCTTTTTTATCTTTCTCGCATTTAATTCACGATTTTTAGGTATAAACCTAACTTCATTTTTAATACGAGAATTTTATTTTCAATATTGAATATTAATCAAAACGATTGATTGTTTTTTTTTTTTTTTATATGTGTGTTATCATACTTACAAAACTTACGTTTAATAAAAAAAGAAGTACACGTATGTGTGTATATTTTTTTGTTTTCTTTTTTTTGAATGAATTTTTTCATCGATAACTATCGTTCAATCATTTTTATATCTACCAATATTCAAAAACGTCACCCATGAAATGTTTTTTGGATATAATTACACCCCAAAAGTACGCAATTTTTTTTTTTTAGTAATTTTTGCTTCAAATTCCCAGCTGTTTTACTCGTTCCATTACATTGTAATCTTAGTCCTGATACTTTGCATTCATCACATTTTTTCAAAACTTTGTTTTTTTGAAGGTTTTACTTCTATTTTGTGTGATCTGCACACGTGATATTTTTTTTTTTTTTGTTGAAGCTAGCGCGTATAACTTTTAAAATATATTATTATATTAGAATATGTCGTTTGATGTTATCCACGTAAAAGAGAAACCCAAAAAGATAGGAAAAGAGAATGAGTGAGTGAGTGAGTGAAAGAAAGAGAGAGAGAGAGAGAGAGAGAGAAATCAACTGGTCGGTCGTTGAGAAGAGACAAGCGTTAAATTTTATCGTGTTTCGACGAAAATTTACACCACGAACGTTTCTACGAAACATTGTAACGCATACAGGTGAAACATTATTAACGGTCTGGTGATTGTAACTTCTGTGTAATTCCATTAGAACCGGAATAAAGTTATATGTGCAACGTTGAAAAGAGATAAAGAGATGAAATGATAGAAAGAGGAGAATCATTCTCGACGAAGATTGTCTCGGTTCGATGAATAAGTTAAAAAGCTGTTTCTATTATTTATGTGATAGAATATAACATTGACAAGTGTTATATATAGATGTTTAGTCTATTATTAACCTATTAATATTTAATTCTCATTGTTCAATATTCGTATAACTTTTCAATGTAAGATCTTACGTATAACGAGATTTATTATGAATGTGAGTAATGAAGTGTTTATTAAATACAATTAGACGAGTCAATTTATTTGTCAAATAAAAACTAAAGAAAAATTTTAATATAACTAAAAGTCGAGAAAATAGATAAAATTATATGTGCAGTTTATTTCGAAAGTGGTCTAATTCCATTTGTCAAGTTTTATTTTCCCATTGCACCTGATTATTGTACAACTTTATGTAATGTATCAATAAAGTATTTGAGGTTGCTTATATTCCAAGTAAATATGATAATACTTTATTGTAAATAAAATGAGATAAGAAGATTTTGTATGAACAAAATTATTAGAAGACGTAATTTTTAAAAGGGTCAAGAATTCTGATGAAGAATCAATAAACTGGTTAAAAATATGTTGAATGTATTTTGTCAGAAATGAATCGTATCAAATTTTCTATAAGACATCAATGAATGAGAATGAAAATTTGAAAGTCTCGAATTTATTACCACGTATATTGACACCACTGTATAAAAATATCAGACAAATTACAACAGCAAAATTCAAAGACATAATTGACCTATTACAATATATACCACTGGAACATCATGATTTCTTCAAATCCCTTTCACACACACAAAATGTAGATGAGTAGTAAATTGTTCTGTAATTAATGTTTGTCATTTTGTACGTTATGTTGTTAAAAAATGTTTTCAATCGCATAAATTATGTTTCCGAAGTGTTTTAAAGATATGTCAAATAAATTGAGTATTGTTTTTTTTTTTTTTTTTTCAATTTGAAGCATCTTAAATTATGTTGAATGAACTTGGATCTATTCGAAATTTTCTAACAAATCTGGTTGTTAATATTGAAAGTAGCCTAACTCTATTCGTGGTAAGAAAACGCATATTATTCATTTAATAATTGTC